AGCTTCTCATAAGCTCGTCATTGAGAGTAATCAAAAAGAGGTAAGCAGAGAGAGTATTTGCAACACAACTGTTAAAGCATGTGACAAGATAAAATAAACAACATAAGATACTTGAAAGTATGAAGACCAAAATGCTGTGGCCTGTTGTATGGTCGCGATATCCTTTCCTTGTATATGATTCGTTTGACCTTGTTTTCCCAACTTGATAATACTGGAAGGAAGACCTACAGGAACGCACCTAGTCCAAAATCCATACTATGTCTGATAATTTCCAGTCGGACCATGGATTTGGTACATTCCCAGAGGTTTCACCGGCATCGTCAGTGAGCACCACTCTAATACTCGTCAAAGAGACAATTGGTCAAAGGATCGACTTCGCTTGTCTCTTTGACTAGTTGTAGTGTGGTGCTAAGAATGACAAGACTCACTGACGACGCCGTCAAAACGTCTGAGAATATACCAAGTCCAAGGTACGACGCTTGGAAATATTATAAATACTATAGCAGAGGACTGCGGACAAAATGCATCCAACTAAGTCAACCTGACAACACGAGCAAGTTTTAAAAACGAGGTCAGACCACATATATACATAGAAATGAGCCTGAGACTAAAAAAGTCACATCTTGGTCTTCGTATCAACAAAAGATATTGGTTGGAAAAATATTAAAGGAGTGAAAATTTAAACCTATACTCACATCAGAAGCGTTAAAATTCACTCGTGCCTTTCCCTTGACCAAGGTAGCCGCTATCTGCATGATCACAGACTCAATGTCATAGGCACTCGACCAACCCTGTTTAGTCAATAACTCCATGCAGATGGCGCCGCCAGCCAAGACGTAGCCGTTTTCGATTACCGGGTAGATTATTCGAACAAATGGTGGCTCAAAAGGATAGTTCTCCTAGTTTAACAGAGGGAAATGTATCATAGTATTAGTAAAGTAATGCGAGACACAAATAAAAATTGTATCGAAACCTACTCAATATGGACATAGCCAAAATCTTAGTGCCCTATATGCAAGACGACCGCCCACACCTAGTGACAAAATTTAAATATTAAAGATTTTTTAAGCATTGAATAAGGTCCAAACAAAATGTATGCCTAATATAGAAAAAAGAATATAAGTAATGCATACCAAGCTAGCTCAAACAAATCACTAGTTAATTAGTTTGCATAATTAAGATAGGCGAACTGAACTAAGGAAAAATGATAAGAGGATATATATAAATATATATATGTATAAGAATTACTAAGAGAACGAGTTAGAAGGGAAATAGCATTTAACTGAAAAACGTGCCTGCCAATAAATCTAAAATTAAAACCAAAGTATAGTATAAAATCCTTAATTTTTCAATATCTGTTGGACCTAATATAATGTGTATCAATAATCACAGCAAAACAAATAAATAATTTGGTTCAGTTTATCTTTGTTGCTAGTGGTGAGGTTTTAAAACATTGGTTAGGCTTTTTCAAATTATCTTCAGATTTTATAGATAACCTAATTTTACAATAAAGCTCTCATAAAAAACACGTCAAGTTAATAACTATTCATTGTTAAATGCTGACCCAAAACATAGAAGAAAAAAATAAGTTTCAGAATTCGATGAGTGCGGTTCTTAAAACGTGTCCATGGTGAAAGTAAAGGCCAATTAAAATAAATTAGTTGCAACAAAGTTATATCTCTGATTCTTGGAAATATAAGAGTTTACAAACAATTCCGTCATCACCAGCAGATTAAGAGAAATCAAGATATGAAGACCAAGATGTTTTGGCCTCTGGTATTTTCGCAATCTCCTTACGATTTATAGAAATGGGTTGACTTCGTTGTCGCAACTTGGTCTTGTTACCAGGATGACTTAGTAGAACGCACCTAGTCCGAAGGCGTCTGCCATAGTAGTTTTCATGATTCCCAGCATCAGACAGTGGACTTGGTACCTTCTCAAACGCTTGGCCGGCATCGTAGTCGGCATCATCAGTTAGTTTTGCCATTATCCGCACCAAGCTACGAACTCGTCAAAGAGACAAGTGAAGTCAATCCCTCTGCGCTCTGCTAAGTGAGGCGGCAGTGTACGTGATTCTATGTCCTTGAGAAATAGCGCCCGGAGTGAAGTGCGCACTAGGACTGGAACCGAGTGAAATCGGTCAACTAGAAAGATAAGGAACGGATCTACGAGATAATGAGGGGATCCGGATTAGAGGCCCGAGTCGGATCAGCCGATCGAAAGAGAGTCGTGGTGAATAGCAAGTGTGATAAGGCCACATTAGATTTGCGACAAAAGGACACACATTTTGACGAGTGGAATGTAACAAGTCAGAAGTTGAGATAGGGCGGCAGTGGGAGGGTAAAGAATAGATAAATAGGCCAGGACAGAAAGAGTGATAGTGTAACCATTTTCGGCATAACGTTTGTCGAAGGATTGACTTCACTTGTCTTTTTGACGAGTTCGTAACTTGGTGCGGAGAATGGCAAAACTCACTGATGATAG